CCGGTGCCACTGCTGAGCCACCGCCGCTGTCGCTGCCTCTACGGGGAGGGGACAGTGACAGGGACAGCGGGGGAGGGGCTGGGGACACCCGCGGGGGACACGCTGTGCGCCGGCTTCCCACGGGGACAGCGCGACGCCTGCCAGGTGGGTGACAATGACACTGGTGGCACCGATGTCACCGATGTCACCTCCTTCTGTCACCTCTGTCATTGCTGTCACCTCCCTCTGTCACCTGCCAGGTGGGTGGCACTGTCATTGATGTCATCGATGTCACTTCTGTCACCTCTGTCATCTCCTTCTGTCACCAATGTCACCTCTGTCACTGCTGTCACCTCCTCCTGTCACTGCTGTCATCTCCTGCTGTCACCTGCCAGGTGGGTGGCACTGACACCGATGTCACCAATGTCACCGATGTCATCTCCTCCTGTCACCTCTGTCACTGCTGTCACCTCCCTCTGTCACCTCTGTCACTGCTGTCACCTCCCTCTGTCACCTGCCAGGTGGGTGACACTGACACTGGTGGCACCGATGTCACCGATGTCACCTCCCTCTGTCACTGCTGTCATCTCCTCCTGTCATCGACGTCATTGCTGTCACCTCTGTCACCTCCTCCTGTCACCAATGTCACCTCTGTCACCTCCCTCTGTCCCGGTGTCACCTCGTGGTGTCACCTCCCCCTGTCACCTCCCGGAGTCACCACTGTCACCTGCCTGAGACCCTGGGCTTGGTGTCACCTCTGTCACCTCTGTCACTTCCTGGAGTCATCAATGTCACCGTTGTCACCTCCCTCTGTCACCACTGTCACCTCCCCCCTGTCCCGGTGTCACCGCTGTCACCTCCTGCTGTCACCTCCTTCTGTCACCTCCCAGTGTCACCTCTGTCACCTGCCAGAGTCACTCTGTCACCTCTGTCACCTCCTCCTGTCATCGATGTCACCTCTGTCACCTCCTCCTGTCACCTCTGTCACCTCCTCCTGTCACTGATGTCACCTCTGTCACCTCCTCCTGTCATCAATGTCACTGCTGTCACCTCCTCCTGTCACCTCTGTCACCAATGTCACCTCCTCCTGTCACTGATGTCACCTCTGTCACCTCCCTCTGTCACCTCCCCTGAGTCCCGCCCCTGTCACCAATGTCACCTCCCTCTGTCACCTCTGTCACCTCCTCCTGTCATTGATGTCACCTCCTCCTGTCATTGATGTCACCACTGTCACTGCTGTCACCTCCCTCTGTTACCTGCTGGTGTCACCGCTGTCACCTCCATCACTGGTGGCACTGATGTCACCTCCCTCTGTCACCAATGTCACCTCTGTCACCAATGTCACCTCTGTCACCAATGTCACCTCCTCCTGTCACTGATGTCACCTCCCTCTGTCACCACTGTCACCTCTATCACTTCCTGCAGTCATCGATGTCACCGTTGTCACCTCCCTCTGTCACCTCCTGGAGTCACCACTGTCACCTCCCCTGAGTCCCACCCCTGTCATCGATGTCACCTGCTGGAGTCACTGCTGTCACCTCCTCCTGTCACCACTGTCACCTCCCAGAGTCACCAATGTCACCTCTGTCACCTCCCCTCAATGTCATTAATGTCCCTTTTGTCCCCTCAGGGTGACTCTGGTGGCCCCCTGTCCTGTCTCAAGGGTGGCACGTGGCTGCTGTCCCTATGTCCCCAATGTCCCCAATGTCCCCAATGTCACTGATGTCACATTCCCATGATGTCACTGATGTCACAGATGTCACTTTTGTCCCCTCAGGGTGACTCTGGTGGCCCCCTGTCCTGTCTCAAGGGTGGCACGTGGCTGCTGGCCGGAGTGGTCAGCTGGGGTGACGCCTGCGGTGTCCCCAATGTCCCCAATGTCCCCAATGTCCCATTTCTATGATATTTTATGATGTCACTGATGTCACATTTTTGTCCCTTTTGTCCCCTCAGGGTGACTCTGGTGGCCCCCTGTCCTGTCTCAAGGGTGGCACGTGGCTCCTGGCCGGAGTGGTCAGCTGGGGTGACGCCTGCGGTGTCCCCAACCGTCCCGGCGTCTACACGGCCGTGTCCCCTCACTCGGCCTGGATCGTGTCCCACGTCCCCGAGCTGTCCCCGCGCCGGCCGGACAATGTCACACGAGGTGATGACGTCATTGATGATGTCATTGATGATGTCACAGAGGAGGAGGAGCCGTGCCCGGCGTGGCCGCGGCCGATGGCACCGGGAGGGGACGCGGGGACGGGGGTGGCACCCGGGGCCAGCGCGGGGGGGGTGGCGGTGGCCGTCATGGTGACATTGGTGATGGGGTGGCATTAAAAAATGGCACAAAATAATTCAAAATGGTCAAAAAATGGCACAAAAACGGCTGAAAATGAGCATAAAATAGGCCAAAAATGGTCAAAAATGGTACAAAATGAGCCCAAAATGGCACAAAAATGGTACAAAATGACCCCAAAAAATGGGGGATGGGAGTCCCAAAATGAACCCCAAATGAACCCCAAAATGGCACAAAATGAGCCCAAAAATGGCCCAAAAAAAAGGGCACAAAAATGGTCCCAAAATGGTCCCAAAATGGTCCCAAAAATGAGCCCAAAAATGGTCCCAAAAATGGCCAAAAAAATGGCCCAAAAATGGTCCCAAAAGGATCCCAAAAAATGGTCCCAAATGGTCCCAAAAATGGTCCCAAAATGGTCCCAAATGGTTCCAAAAATGAGCACAAAAATGGCCCAAAATGGTCCCAAAAATGAGTCCAAAAATGGTCCCAAAAATGATCCCATAAATGACCCCAAAAATGGCCCGAAAATGGACTCAAAAATGACCCAAAAATGGCTCTAAATGGTCCCAAATGAGCACAAAAATGGCCCAAAAATGACCCAAAAATGGTCCCAAAAATGGCACAAAAATGGCACAAAATGACCCCAAAAAATGACCCAAAACGACCCCAAATGGTCCCAAAAATGAACCCAAAAATGAGACCAAAAATGGCCCCAAATGGTCCCAAAAACGATCCCAAAATGATCCCAAAATGGCCCCAAATGTCACCCGGGGTGATGACGTCATTGATGACGTCACGGATGACGTCACGGAGGAGGAGCCGTGCCCGGCGTGGCCGCGGCCGATGGCACCGGGAGGGGACGCGGGGACGGGGGTGGCACCCGGGGCCAGCGCGGGGGGGGTGGCCCTGATGGTGACATTGGGGTGGCTGCTGGGGTGGCATTAAAAAATGGGATAAAATAATCCAAAATGAGCAAAAAATGGCATAAAATGAGAAAAAAATGGCATAAAAATGGTCCCAAAATGACGCAAAAAATGGTACAAAAATGAGTCCAAAAATGAGTCCAAATGGTCCTGAAAGTGGCACAAAAATGGCACCAAAAATGGTCAAAAATGGGCCAAAAATGGCATAAAAATGGTACAAAAATGGCACAAAATGACCCCAAAATGATCCTGAAAATGGTACCAAAATGAGCCCAAAAATGGCTCAAAAATGGTCTCAAAAGGGTCTAAAATGGTACCAAAAGTGAGCACAAAAATGGCACAAAAAATGAGCTCAAAAATGGTCCCAAAATAGTCCCAAAATGGTCCCAAAAATGAGTCCAAAACCAGCACAAAATGAGCCCAAAAATGGCAGAAAAATGGTCCCAAAAATGGCCACAAAATTAGTCCAAAAGTGGCCCAAAAATGAGCAGAAAAATGGTCCCAAAATGGTACAAAAATGGTCCCAAAATGAGCCCAAAATGGCACAAAAATGATCTCAAAAATGAGTGCAAAAATGGCATAAAATGGTCCCAAAATGGTCCCAAAAATGAGTCCAAAAATGAGCCCCAAATGGTTCCAAAAATGGTCCCGAAAGTGGCCCAAAATTGGCACAAAAAATAGCACAAAATGATCCCAAAATGGCCCCAAAAATGGTCCTAAAAATGAGCAGAAAATGGTCCCAAAAATGGCACAAAAATGAGTCCAAAAATGACCCAAAAATGGCGTAAAAATGAGCTCAAAAATGGTCCCAAAATGGTCCCAAATGACCCCAAAAAATGGCACCAAAAATAGGGGATGAGAGTCCCAAAAACGGCCCAAAATAATCCCAAAATGACCCCAAAAATGGCACAAAATGGTCCCAAAAATGAGTCTAAAAATGAGGAATGGGACCCCAAAAATGGACCAAAGGACCCCAAAATGGACCAAGGGATCCCAAAATTGGGAATTGTGACCCCAAATTTGGGAATTTTGACCCCAAATGACCCCTCTGTGCCCCTCCCCCACCCCAAACCCCACCCCGGAACCCCCGAAATAAAAACTCTGAGACCCCTCCCCGTCTGTGACTGTTTTATTTGGGGAAAAAACACAAAATTCAGGGAAAATCCCAACATTTTGGGGAAAAACCACAAAATTGGGGGAAAAACTCAAAATTGGGGGGAAAATTCCAACTTTTTGAAGAAAAATCCCAAAATTTTGAAGGAAAAATCCCCAAAATTGGAAGGAAAAATCACAAAATTGAAGAAATGCCAAAATTTGGGGGGAAAATCCCAACGTTTTGAAGGAAAAATCCCCAAACTGGGGGGAAAATCCCAAAAATTGGAGGGAAAAATCCCAAAATTTTGAAGGAAAATCCCAAAATTGGGGGGAAAAATCCCCAAAATTGTGGGAAAATCCCAAAATTGGAAAGAAAATCCCCAAATTTTTCAGGGAGATTTTTGTGGGGGATTTTTTTGGGATCTTTAAAATTTTTTTTTTAAATTTTTTTGGGATTCTTTTCTGAATTTTTGGGAATTTTTTTCGGATTTTTTTTTTTATTTTTGGGATTTTTTGGGGAATTTTTGGGATTTTTTGGGGGATTTTTTTGGGAATTTTTAAAAATTTTTTGGGAAATTTTTTGGGTATTTTTTGAGGGATTTTTGTGGGAATTTTTTTGGAATTTTTTCCGCATTTTTTGGGATTTTTGTGGGATTTTTTTTGGATTTTTTTCTGCATTTTTTTTGGATTTTTTTCCAAATTTTTGGGGATTTTTTTTGGGATTTTTTTTGGGGGAAATTTTGGGGTTTTTGGGGTTTTTGGGGTCCCCTCCCCAAATTTCACTTCTTGGCCACCTTGGCCTGTTTGTGCTTCGGGGGGGCCCAGCGCAGGCAGATGGAGTCCACTGCAATTAACAGTAATTAACGCTAATTAGAGACTCATTAACATAATTAACGCATATTTAATGAGGGGGAGGGGCCATAATTAGGGGTAATTAACGGGGGGTGTTAATAGGGGGGATTAGGGAAGGAGGATCATTAACAGATTCAATTAATAGGGTTAATTAATGGGGTAATTAAGGAAAATAAGCATCGATTAAATTAATTAAGGCCATTAATTAATGGAGAGCTTAATTTGAAGGAATAATTAAGAAGGCTCATCAAAGGAGGTAATTAGGAAGGTTCATTAAGGGCAGTGATTTTAGGGGGGCTAATTAGGTGATCTTAATTAACGGGGTTAATTAAGGGGGGTAATTAACAGGGTAATTAAGGAAAATGAGCATCAATTAAATTAATTAAAGCAGTTAATTAACATGGAGCTTAATTTGAGGGAGTAATTAAGAGGGCTCATCAAGGGAAATTAATTAAGGGGAGTTCATTAATTGGGGTCATTGGGGGTTTTCGGACCAAACCATTCAGGGCTGATTATGGGGGGGTTCCATTAATTCACCCTCATTCTGGGATTAATTAAAGGTTAATTAAGGGCTCATTAACGCTCATTAATAGGTTTATTATTGGAGATTCACTAATGAAAATTAATTAATTCATGGAAATTAATTAAGAGAATTCATTAATAGGGATCCCTGGGGGTTTTCGGACCGAACCATTCATGGCTGACTATGGGGGGGTTTCCATTAACTCACCCTCATTGCGGGATTAATTAAAGGTCAATTAAGGGTTCATTAACAGCGATTCATTAATGGAAATTAATTAAGGGAGTTCATTAATGGAAATTAATTAAGAGGGTTTATTAATGGGGATTATTGTGGGGTTTGTGGACCAAACCATTCACCGCCACCACCCGGGGGGGGGGATTCCATTAACTCACTCTCACTCTGGGGTTAATTAAAGGTTAATTAAGGGCTCATTAACGCTCATTAATGGGTTCATTAATGAAGATTCACTAATGAAAATTGATTCTTTAATGGAATTTAATTAAGGGGGTTCATTAGTGTAAATTAAACTCATTAATGGGCCTCATAGGGGGGTTTCTGGACCAAACCATTCAGGGCAGACTACGGGGGGGTTTCCTTAAATTTGCCCTCATTCCAGGATTAATTAAAGGTTAATTAAGGGTTCATTAACACTCATTAATGGAGATTCATTAATGAAAATTGACTCATTAATGGTAATTAATCAAGGGGAGTTCATTAATGGGGGATCATTGTGGGTTTCTGGACCAAACCATTCACCAACACCACCTGGGGGGGGGATTCCATTAACTCGCCCTCACTCTGGGGTTAATTAAGGGCTCATTAACACTCATTAATGGGTTTATTAATGGAGATTCATTAATGGAAATTGATTCGTTAATGGAAATTAATTATGAGGGTTCATTAATGGGGATCATTGGGGGGGTTTATGGACCGAACCATTCATGGCTGACTATGGGGGTGGATTCCATCAATCCGCCCCCCCTCCAGCATTAATTACCCCCCTAATTAACCCCCCCAATTAACCCTGTTATTAATTATCGTTAATGACTGACCGGTGAT